CGCTAATCCGCTTACGCACGAACCGCTCCATGGGACATTAAGGGCAAAATTATCGCGTACGTAAAACGGCGGATCGTTAGCTATTCTTATTTCATGTAGAAGTGACCCTCCCTCCCCACCCCTCCCCTCCCCACCCCTCTTTCAGCTAACATATATTAATTAAAAAGATAATGATAAAATTTTGGAGTTTATTATAGTGTAAAATACATGTTGCGATTTTCAAGAACATGTATCTTCCCATGAATTTAGCGGGAAGATAACGAGTCTAGAACTGAGTACGCGTGAGTCACATGATAATTTATCCTTGACCCAGTATCTTTACCGTCAGTTGTTATTCCGATCATATCAAGGTACATACGACGCATAATTTTCTACACGTCATCTACAATGAACAGTAGCAGTAGAGGCGAGTAGACGCGAGTAAACTGGTTTTCCGACCAGAAAACCAGTTTACTCTCTACGTTAATGTGAAGAGGATTATCAACTATGATTGGTCGATTTTTATGCCTACTTCTTCATCCACTACTGCTATTGCTCATTGTTAGACTGCGGAACTTTATGCAAAATACTTAACTGAATATTAACTATCGGACAGTTTTAGCAGTCAATCGTTGTTCGTTAAAGAGTTATTAAAAAGTGAAGTAAAAAGATTGAGATTGCCATTTGTAAATTTACAAAATTGCAAAATATGCATTTTATGCAAAACATTCAGTTAAGTATTTTGCATAAAGTTCCGCAGTCTACTCATTGTACACCACGCATAAAGATCAAGAGCGACTGCGTTGGTTGCATTCAGTACTCCAACTGCTCATGACTATGTTCAGCAGACTCAACAGTTGAGTGAGCACTCGCTGCTATTGATGTACATTTCTAGATATAAAATTCTGATTGGATGATCTAAAAGAATACACCAATAACAGTGAGCGTTAACTCAACTGCTGAATCCGCTGTATGCGCCCAATGAGTTTCTACCATAAAAAAAAAATGCTTTTAATAAAATTACTAAGAAATATAAAAGTTTATAGGAAAATGTTAATTTTTCGATGAAAAATATAACTGATGAGGATCGTAGGATTTATAAAGACTGAAAAAAATTTATCAAATTTTTAAAAATACAATATTTTATTCAATGTACTCTAAACATGCTGTAAATAAAACTTACAGAATCTCTTAATAAATTGATACGAATCTCTTAATAAAGAATCATATAAGAATCATTAATAATTAAATACGTAATAATTAGGTAAATCGGACATTTTAATTTTCTTATTGATCTTTCATATATAAAAAGAGATCTTTGCATATAGTAATGTATAATAGAATATCATATATATAGAAAAATATTATCTACATATATTGAAAGAAATTTTATGATAACATTCAATAGAATAAGAACAAGTAATAATTCATCAAAGTCATAATCAAAATCAGAGAAAGAAAGTCATATTTTAACGTTCTTTCACTTTCGACATTATTATACATTCGTTACGTGTGTATGTGTATATATATGCATAGGCGCACACACGCACGCACGCACGCACGCACACAATCATTGTATAGAGTGGATTAAAGTTGTCTCTATCTACCATACATTTCCATATAAATAAATGACCAAACTAAAATATTTTAATCCCTGTTTTTAGAAAATAATCTATTCGACATATTATTAACTGTAAATTATTCGCAAAACATTTACATCAAAGACAAATTAACATAGAAGACAAGATTAAGTGAAACAATTTTCAGTGTCAAAATTTTGAGCATATATTCAAGTTAATTACGACACATTGTACTTACATTTTTATTTTTCAAACATTAATAGTAATCTTGTGATTTAGTTTACATAGTAATATGTTTATTTTACAAACTGAAGAATAATCTAATAGAATTTTATTTCCAATTACAGTAAATTATAATCGATTTAGTAGAGACGAAAACTATCGCTTATTCTCGGAAGTTTAAAGAGTACTATAATTCGCTTCGCTCTTCTTTATGGTTACGTATATTTAACGACATTAGTCAGCACTTGAATATATGAAACGAATCATTATTTCAGCCTAATCATAATGACGCAGGTATCATAAAATATTGTGTTGTAAAATTAAAGTTTTAGACTCTGTCATTAAATTTTTTATAAGCCTTATAATGGTATCTTTCTCTTTATCCCTCTCTCTCTCTCTCTCTCTCCCCCCCCCCCCCCCCCCCCTCCCTCCCTCTATCTTCCTCTCTTCTGTTTTCTTCTTCTCCACCTTCATTTAATTCGATAGAAAATTAATATGTCAATGTATCATGATTAAGAAATGGAAGCACATGGCATATACATGGAAGCTTGTATATCATTATCACGCTGTATACAATTGTAGCACAATAACGATTCAAAAATACATTCAATAGTGGACATCTATTGAATCGACAATAGCTAAAGTTTTGAAACTATACGCCAAATATTTTTTTCGTACAGAACAATCGTCGCATGAAATTGTTTCTTTTTTTACAAGGGACGTCACACAATTATCCGGCACCGATTTGATTCTCCGTGAAATATGTTGTTAAACACAAAAATCTAAGAGACACATATTTTTTATACGTGCGCTAACTCATGTTTAAGGGGAAACACCCCTTTGAAAAAAAAAAAACTGTATTTCTATTTCAGCCGAATACTGTCGAAAATATAAAAGATGGAAAAAAATTTTTTAAACAAAAGTTGTACGGCTTCAAGAGTACTTCAATGTTGTGAAGAAATAAATTTTTTTTAATTTTTTGTTTAACAATTATTATTCCAAAACCAAATATAAGTATTCGCTCATATATATATGCAAAGCAATATAAAAGTGATTTCAATAATCACGTTTTTTAAATTATTGACCTGAATTGATTATTGAAATCGCTTTGATATTGATTAACAATTGTTAAAAATTAAAAAAAATTTGTTTCTTCACAACATTGAAGTACTTTTACAACCGTACAATTTTTGTTAAAAAATGTTTTTTCATCTTTTATACTATCGACAGTATTCGGCTCGAAATAGAAATATCGTTTTTTTTTTCTCAAAAGGGTGTTTCACTCCTTAAACATGAGTTAGCGCACGTATAAAAAAATACGTGTCTCTTAGATTTTTGTGTTTAATAACCTATTCATGGGGAATCAAATCGGTACCGGACAGTTGTATGACTTCCTTTATAAGAATAATTGTTACAATTTACTTATTTACAAGATTTTACAAGAAATCGGAGGAAAGACTCAAGTTCTTACATGATAATTTACATGTAAATGATTTAGAACTATATTACCCGATAATCAAGTTGGAGTAATACGTGATACAAACGAGCGAAATTTTTAAGCGAGATTCCACGAACGTTTCGCGATCAAAGTTAGTATTAAAAAAATTAGTGTCTATCTACATCATTATATCACAAAATGCGCGTGAAGAGTCACTTCATTTCACCTGCCTTCATCCGAATGCTCGGTCAACTGTCTATGATGATTCTGATGAGATTGTACATTCGAATTTTGTCTGGTTTGCACAACTGCATCATCTTCAACGTCGTTTCTACCATCTTCTTCAACAAAAGCTGTATCTCTGTTTTGGATGTTTTCAACTTTATACAGTATGTCGTGGCAAAGAGGGCATCGGTCTTGAACGTATAACCATTTCCGCAAGCATACACCATGGAAATAATGATTGCATTGAGTGATCTTGGCGCTTTGCATTTCCTGATAGCAAATTGCACAAACATCGTCTAACTGTTCAAGTTGTTCGGCTTTTGCTTCCGGTAAAGAATTAATCTTATTCACAGCCGTCCGGCGTTTCATAAAAACGCTCCATCCAGCCTTCGCTTCGCACCAGATATTAAAGTAAGCGTGTATACACATCATGACGGCACGAATAGCTCCACCAGACTCGAAGATCAATATCCAGAAACCGTTAAAAAACAATATAATGCCGAAAGCAAATTCCACAGTATTGCCAAATGACCTTATTATGTATACACAATCGTCAAATTGTTCCCAGAATTCACTTCTGTATGCGTCGATTAGAAACAACGAATAAATTGCTAGCGAGACCAGTACTTTGACTATTACCTCAATGCTAAAGACCGACACAGCCAATAACCATGTGCTCACGGTGAAATGGGACCAGAGGAATACGAGTAACGAAACCGGGAAGAATATTAAAAAAGCACAGACCGCCAAAGCCCGTAAATGTCTATGTAGTGCCGGATTATGAGAAGCACTGAGCGACATCAACAATGGATTCACTATATTGTGCACAAAATGTAAAATCGCCGTGAACAATAGGCAAAAATTACGATATAATCGTACTAAACGCTTCTCTCTATCGAGACTCGTCAATCCGGTTTGTAGGGCAAGAATGTAAAATAGTATAGCGGACACCGTGCCGATACTCTTCTCATCTTCGTCTTCCGTCAATAATATCCATTGGAAGAAATAACCGATATAGTGGCAGATAAACGAGATTATGCTGGTCATACCAAGAACAGCTGTCAACGTCTCGCACCCATTTACCAGCAGCGTTCTGATCATGACGTAATAATTAAATGTTTCCTCGCCATAGTGATTCCCGAGGATTTGAACGACTTGTTCTCCCACACGCAGCATCCAAAATGTGCGAAGTACGCATGGCACGTTCAAACGCATCCATTCTGTTTCCGCAAGAGCGGATAAACCATAATTGATTATAAAGTTGCGTGCGTGTCGATAGCCTATGTAGATTGTTTTTAACATGGAGACACCATTATACCAGATGACAAATTTACACACAGCCAATGGGATTAACGTTGCGCACACTGGTGTGTGATACAGATATTGCGTCTAGGAAAAAAATTTTTTACTTAATTTAAATTTTCTAAAAATACTAATACTCGCTGTTTTCCTAATTCAACTCTTCTTTGTATTAAAAATAAAAAAAATAGCGGATATATTTAATAAACTTACCGGTAAAGGATGGATACCCAAGATGGATGGTGACATAAAGCTCAGCACAAGAAGCTTCTGAACTATAGGATGTCTTGGGGCAAGATGTATGTAACAAAAGACGCTGGCTAGCAGGCATTGCAATATATAATTCTGGATAATTAGAAAACCCGGACCATTGTATAGAACGTCCGATAGATTCAGACATAATATATTGTCAAGTATGCTGGTTGTTGATTCATGGACATTCATGTAAGCTATGATTGCTTTCGTTGCACTAACATTTGACCAATACGATACAAATATTACTCCTATAGATATTAAATATAAGTATACAATTATCAAATGTCTAGTACATAACATAAATGTGTATAAGGCTGCAAGAAAACCTGAAAGAAAATGGTATCAATTTATTTATTCAAATCAATACTGCAAAAAATTCATTAATTTTTCACGAGGCTCTTTAGTTTTTGCAATGAAACAGCAATTTTTATCACGGTAGGATTTACATATATCTTAAATGCAAAAAATAACTTGACGAATTAACTTGACTGTAGGCTTTTTTCTTTGGAAAAAAAAAAGAAAAAAAAAGGAGAGATTTACTTCGAAAACTTACTGAAATTGTAAAGAGTATAGTAAAGTATATTACTTACCTATACAACAACATAAAAATTTAAACATGATTATCAGGTAAGCCTTGTAAGCAAGATGAGTAAAATCAAGCTGATCCATTAGAAACGAGTCTGTTGTAACTGCAGAAATGGAACTAGCTATGCTTGATAAATTGGTACTTTTAAAGCCATGTTCATTACTTTCCAGTACAATATTGTCATTGGGTAAACCAAGGCTGATTCTTAGTAACTCATCAATGATAAATAAAGGTGGCACCCTCATTACAACATCAGCAAAGCTGAGAATTCTTTCCCGTATTGAAGTATCCATCTTGCTAGTGCTGTTCAAGGAAAAGTTTGAGGAAGACGTTTTATACACGCCTCGGTTTTAAATATGGAAGCAGCATTCTGTTATAGAATCATACAAAGGCCAGACCTACACACAAACACACACACATATACACACGTATATATACATAAAGTAACAATTATAATTAACCCTCCTATGGTAAAATAAATCAAAATAAATTTTCAAGATAACCAGAAAAGTAAGATTGGATCCAACTTGATGCTGTCTTGTTGCTATCTCATCTAATTAACAAACTGGATAGACAGAAGTAAATAATATATCATAAAACTTCTTTCTCTGTTGAACAGCGTTTGGATTCCGTAAAACAAACGAAGCTAGGAATCGCATCCAATCCTCCATAGGAGAGTTAATATTACTTATATTAATGTACAAAGAGATATCTTCAAACAAAAAATAGGAAAAGAAGATTTTCAAACTCTTTTCACCAATTTCTTTCAAGTTGATCAATTTATATGTGAAAAAATGAAATGATAGAATCGCACTGAAAATTGTACTAAAAATTTATCTGTTGCAGTAATGCAAATCTAGTGTTTGATACATGTATTAATTTTAGGTTATAATATCTGTCAAAACATTATACATATCACACAGCACAGCAAAAGCATAGTAGTAATTGTATCCTTGATTAGTTTGGATTGCACAAAATTAATCTCATGTGTCATTGGAATCCACTTAAAAATACATATCAAATCTTCTTATCAATACTATTACCACTATCATGACATAAGGTTGTTTCTGTTTTTTTTGCGGCTGAAGGCTGAACTAGTGTACACTTTTGGAACTTAAAGTGAGAAAGGTATATGTTTGATATTTGTCAAAAACGAGAGAGTTCTAATGTAGGAACAGAAAACAAACCTATAAATTCTCATTCGTGTATACTCGCTCACTTCTCTCTCACCCTTTTAGCGCACGTTCTGGCACGTTCTAATCCTCTTTCTCCGCCTCTTCGTCTACTGTATTATGCATATATAATTTATTTTATAAACGATTTTATATTATCGCCTCTATCCCAAAAATCAAAACTTTACTTTATATCATTGGTATACATGTTTTATATCGTAAAGATCAACTTGATTTCCGCTGGATAAATTTAATATAGATGGTTTAATAAATACACGTCTAATGTCATTGTTTGATTGTGTGGTAGGATCACAATAAATTTTCCAGTTGTCACACAAGTACACGCGACGCGTTACATTTAAACGAATAGAAAGAAAATCGTTGGCGCGTGTCGACTATGAATATTATAATACGATAATGGTCGAATAGAGCAAACAAGAGAGAACACGTACGAGGTTAATACCACCAACGGATAACATAACCTCTGTATACCGTTGAAAATGGAAATAATCTCGAAATAATGAGAATGAGGAGCAACGAGCAACGAGCAACGAGTTTTCACTGCTCCGCACTCCTATTTTGGATAGTTTGGATGCCTATGTCTAATCTACGAATTATCGCGGATAAGCATGCCTTTTTAGCGTGCTTCACCATGCTTCACCGAAGACAACCGAAGAAGTCGATGGAAGTCGACTGTCGAGAGTGTCGAGGCTGTCCAGTCGAGGGCAATCAAGGGAAGGGGGGGGGGGGGGGGAGGGAGGGAGCGAGAGAGAGAGCGAGAGCGAGGGCGAGAGAGAGGGGGAGGGGG